TCTGTGTTAACACAGTCGTGCTCAAAAACTTTGAAAAATCATAACTTTCTTATATGAAGTCAGATTTCGATGTTCTCTACATGTGCGCTCTTGTTTTTACAATTACCACGAATTTAGTTTAGATTGTTCAGGCTAATAAGCTAACTATCTAAAATTCACTTTTTACGATACATAGAGTTGTGTCGGTTTAATCATGAAACTTCGAAGAAGCATAACTTCTCCATACGAAATCAGATTTTTGAGTTCTTTATATGTACGGAATCCTTGTCACATATAATATAAGTTTAGTTAAGATTATTTATCCAAAATAATATTCTATCAAAAAGTCATTTTTATCCCTTATTATGTCTTAATCGTCTAGCTCAAATCTGCGGGTGTTACAGTCCAACCCTCGGTATAGCTATCTAACCTAGTATTTGTTGATAATGTGCAGCATGACTTCCCTGGTGTTCATTAGACGCAGTCCCACGAGGATAACTATGAAGACACACGAAAGCCCATATAGCAACATTGGCACCATCCGTATTCAAAAATACAGATCAAACAACCAAGTTTTCACCCACATTCTGAGTCACCTTTCATCCCAATCGACTTGATTCCATCTAACGGGGGATAATGTAATTTCGGGATGAAATTCCCTCTAACGGGGGGATAATGTAACAACCCGTTGTTTCGAGTCAATAAAAGTCAATGGAATTCACAGTAGTTCAATCAAAGTTTACACTAGTATAAATAAGGATTTAAAATCCTTCACTCTAGAACCTAATACTCAGTGTAAATCATGAAATACCATGTCTTTGGAAACATATATAAGCTTAACACTTACATGAAATCATAATATATATTAATATATATATATATATATATATATATATATATATATATATTATATATATATAGAATTCGGTTTTTTCGAATCTAATTTCAAAACCAAAACCGAATTCCCTAAAGGATTAAAGGCATGACCGAATTCCCTCTTTCTTTGACCAAGAAACCGAATTCACACTTTGTGTCCCACTTTAGGACCGAATTCAAGGAGAATTCAGTCATGTAGGACCGAAATCAGGGTTCTTCGTTCAAGCATTCTCAGATGCTGATCTTGGAGGATGTGGATTGGATAGAAAAAGCACTACTGGCGTATGTCAATTTCTCGATGGCAAACTCGTCAGCTGGAAGTCTAAGAAACAAACATGCATATCCTTATCCACAGCCGAAGCTGAGTACATCACTGCAGCGTCATGTGCTTCACGGGTTATATGGATTCAAATTCAATTAAGAGACTACGGCCTGAACATGAAGCGAATCCCACTTTACTGTGACTCCGAAAGCGCAATTCGCATATGTCTCAACCCAGTGCAACACTCAAAAACGAAACACATCGCACTAAGATATTACTTCATCAAGGATCATGTGGAAGATAGTAATGTCGAGATTCATTTCGTTCGGTCTGCTGATCAATTAGCTGACATATTCACGAAAGCCTTGCCTGAATCAACCTTTAATAGAATACTCTAAGGCTTAGGACTGATGGAAGCTGAATCGGTTCCAAAACCACCTTCGCTTCCATGAGTATCACTTTCGTCTTCGCTCTATAAGTTTTTATCAAGCGAAATGAGGCGAATGTTCGCTCTATTTCGTTCCGTCTTTTTCAGGACACGAAATGGAACGAACAGTCGCTCCTATTCGCTTCACTCATTCTTTATAAGCGAACGTTTGGTTAGTGATTTCACTTCTTACTTGTGGTTTGAAACTCCTGTATCTTTTGTATATTATGCATTCTAAAAGTTTGTTTCACATATTTTCTGTTTTTATTTATTTTCAGAAAATCCAAAAAGATTTTTCTTTCTGTTTTTATTTTTTTTCAGAAAAATAAAATACAAAAATATTTTCCTTTTTTTTTATTTCGAAAATCAAAAATACAAAAATATTTTCCTTTTTGTTTTATTTAGAAAATCTCAAAATACAAAAATATTTCCTTTGTGTTATCTATTTCTTTTATTTTCACATATTATAAAAACATAAAAATATTTTCAGATGATCATGGAGGCAAAGTTTCGTTTGAAAGGGCAGGTATAGCATTCTTTATCTATGTATTAGCTAAGTGTCCCTAGAAGCATGCTGATGCATGTTGTCTAAAGCCTCAACGACTCTAAAGTGAAGCCTTATCGATTCGATATATACAAATCGTTTCTTCCCAATCAGGCTGGTAAATTCACTTAAGTCATGAGCTACCTTACTCTTCTCACATTGAGTTAAGAGTTACTGCTTAGTCACTATCGCATAGCAGAGATACTTTCGTTTCTTATACCACCTCAACACTTTTCTCCATCAATTTCGTTTCATAAACGTGAACCTTAAGACTCTCAGCATTTACCACTGAGGTTTATGGTTACACAACATCTGTGTTGATGATCTTAGTTTCGTTTTACCACATGCTAAGTGAAACCCACAATCCAACACCTTTAATGAATTGACGGTGAACAATTGAATGTTCTAGTTTTTCACCAACACTCCAACGATGGCCACTTTTGTTTGTTGTTTCACGGAATCTCTTTTATTTTTGCGAGATCTATATGAAATTGTCTAAAACTAAGACTTTTCTTCCCAAAAGATCCAGTTTCGTTTTTAATTTTGAGAATTCTAACTTTTTACCAAGTCACTGAACAATTATCAAACCTACTTGATGTTATAGGCTACACTAGCCACACAAGTACTTCATCCAACTTTCGTTCTTATATCAAGTTCGTAGTTTGGTTGATGCGAAAGCTACCTCACAAGCCTAAATTAAAAAGATGCCTTTCAATGTTTCTTAACAAACATTTGATCGTACTTCAACGGGAAACCAGACAGACACTTCTCAGTCTCTCTTGACTTTGAAGGAAGAGTTTCGTGCCCGGGATCCTCAGTTTCGTGTCATATATGACATCACTCAATCCCACTGATATACTTTGCTTTATTTCTTTTTCTTTGGCACAGTCTTGCACGAAGATCTTTATGATTTTTCAAAACTCTAGTTCGTGGTACTTATGGTGTTTTTCAGATTCACAGTTTCACTTCTTAATGCTATGGTGGTCTTGTATTTCAAAAGGCAAAAGGTGCTCAGATTATTTAATTGGAATATGAAGCGTTAGGGAAAAATATGACGAGGTGGAGGAACGGATAAGATTTCAAACCACAAGGTGCGTGAATTTGAAACGGTTCTTATCATCACGCCGCCAGACACCTTTTTCGGGATAACAGTTGTCACATCACGCTTTTCCAGGCGTATTTTCAGAGAAAATCACGCAATCGTCATCAAAGATATTTCTCTCTCCTGGTACATCGTATAAAAGGCTCTCACATATCTCATATTTCTCTTTACCACTCTCAATACGCTCAAGAAACCTAAAGGCGATTTTTCTTACTGTTCATCTTCTTCTTCACGCACCTGCAACAATGGCCGATTCATCATCTGTTCAAGAACACACTGTTCGGTCCTCTTTCATCACCATCAAGCCCAACCAGAACTTGATCCTCGACTTGGCTCCGTTCAAATATGATGCGTTCATGCTTCCCATTGTCGAGTGCTTGAAGTCCTCACCTTTGGTTACTGCTTTAACCAAGGTTGAATGTGTTCCAATGTCACTGTTTTTGAAGGCCTTTTCTTCTGCTAAGTATGTCAAGGAGGAGGAAAGGATCATCTTTGAAGTTCTTGATAAGAAACACTCAGTCTCAAAGTCTAGGTTTTTCTCTCTTCTAGGGCTAAACTATGTCGAATCATTGGTGAATCCGGAGACTATTACTACTGCCCAGATCTTCGACATGTTCTACCAAATGGGGTATACTGATCTTCTCACCACTATCACCAAGTTCAAGAAGTCATGTCTTCCACCCCAATGGAATGGTCTATTTACTCTTCTCTTCAGGGCTTTCTCTGAGAGAGTAACTGGATCCGATTGTGCTAGCAAATCATTCATGACAATCCTGTATGGCCTCTACCATGGGATTAACCTTGAATATGGGTCCGTTCTTTGGGCTCAATTGGTGCAGAGTATGAATTCTTCATCTCGACACAGCGAGATCTCTTGCGTACGTTTCTGGACGATTGTGGTGCAGCGGGCAATGGAAAATTTCAATGTTACAGTGATGGCGGACTCATTAATGTCTTCGATTGCTACCTTCCACACTACAAAGATTATTCTCGCTGACAATTCGAAGTTTTTATTTCTGGGGTCTATTCCGGAGACTATGTACAGATGTGTTTCTGGGGCTAGAAAAATTATCACTGAGTACAAGAAGCATCCTGTTTTGGGTCCTAGGGAGCTTACTTCTGAGATGCAACACTCTGTAGATGAAGCTGATAAACCCAAAAAGGGAGGCAAAAGGGGAAACAAGAAGAAAGGGGTTCAAGATGGTCAATTTTCTCAAGCTCCAACTCCTAAGAAGCGAAAGACTGAAGGTGCAGCTCATCCGGCTCCAAAGAAGCGAAAGCTTAGAAAGATGACTCTGCAGCCCAGCTCATCTTCGACAAGCGATACTAAGTACGTTCCTTCTGATCCTGCTAAAGGAGAATCAAGCAAAAGAGAAAGTTCTCAATCTGATAGTTCGCTTCGTGGTGATTCGCCTCCACCTTCCCCACATCAAGAGGTACCTTTAAACGATTCTGCTCCAACTCCCCCTCCTTCTCCTACTCGCTCTACTATTCCTATCACCATTGCTCCTTCCCCACCACCAATTTCCTTTCAACCAACACCTATTTCATCTCAATCACCACCTGTTATTTTTACAACAACCACCTCTACTACCCAGCCGACACCCATCTACACTGAAACCACTACAACAACCACCACAGGTGAACCTCTCGTCAATGTCAACGCATCTGATGCGGGGGCAAAGACTTCGGGTTTTGTCACTACCTCAATCCCACCTTCTGTTTCGGTCAAAGACTTCGGGCTCAAACTTCAGGTTTCTCCCCTCATGTATCACCTCCCATTTCCCCTCTTAACTGTAATGACCCAGAAATGGTCTTTTGTGATGACGAAGACGAAAATCTTGGTGGTTTCACTTACAGTCCCTTCCAAATCTGGACTGAGAGTGAAGATGAGGTGCAAGTCACGAAAGGGCAACTCCAATCCCTCCATGAAAAGATTGATCAACTGATTCTCTCTATCAAAGCTTCATCCACTGATGCATACGCCAAAGCAGTTGTTGAGTCTCTCTTTGAGCAAATCATGAAGCAACACTCTGCTACTGTTACATCATCGAATAATGTTGTCGTCGATTCTGTTGAGGTTTGCAAGTCTACGACCAAAAAAGTCTATAAACTAATTGGAGATACTAATCCTTTCATGGAGAAATTCCAAACCACTTTCAATTCCAACACCACATCAGCAAACGAAGCATTGAAGAGTAGCGGTTCTCTCTTCAAGATTGAGAAGACGAAACTCCAAGAGATTCGTACTGGTCTTAAAACCGACCATGAATCCTTTCAAGCCACTATCTCCTCTCAGCTTTATCAGCTTAAAGACGAACTAGTGAAGGAGAGTACCCTGAAGAACTCTCTCGCTCTCAAGTCAGAAGAAGCCAAGGTGTTAAGTACCAAACATGAAGCTTCGGAGAAGCAGGTCCATGATTTGTTATCTGAGAGGGCAATCATGCGCAGCTGTATAACTGATATTACTGGCATGCTCTCGGATATCATTGAGACTAGGGACTCCATGATCACCAATACCATGTCTAAGCATCTGGCAGAAAAGTTAAAGCCAATCTTCGCCATGCTTCACCGCCTTGAAGGTGTTTCTGATCAATCCTTTCATCCGAAACAAGGGGGAGAAAGTGCAGCTGGTGACGAATCCAAAGGCAAGGAAAAGTTGTTCCGTGACGAATCAATTCTTGATAATGAAGACGAAGAAGAGGCTACTGAAGAAGAACTAAAAAGGCGAAAAGTTCGTGAGGCTGAACTGGATGAGCACTAGCGAATCATCCGTGAAGCTGAAGAGAAAGAAAGAGCTGAGAAAGAAGAACAGACTACTCTTCAGAGAAAAAAGCTCTTGTTCCCCCAATGGACCCTGAAGCGAATCCAGTGCGATGTTGTTGATCTTCCAAGCCAGTATTGGTTAGAACCAGTAGTTTCGGTTGATCTTCAGAATACACAAGACTCACAACTGGATCTGCCAATTACTTCAAAAGCTTTCAACGCTCCATTCACAGACAGCGGAGCTGATCATATGATGTTTTCATTTTATCTGAAGAATTTGAAGCCACAATACGAAACCTGGTCATTATGCAAAATTATCGGTGTGAAGGTTACAGGGCAGATCAAGACTGATAGCTTTCCAAATGCCAAGTTCAAAGTGGCAAGAGGTTCAGCCAGCTAATGCTATGAGTTTACTCTTGTAGATCTTCCATGCCTTAATCCATATGACTGGTTCATTCTTTACAACATATTGCTGAAGGACAAAGAAAAATATGAACCTGTCATGTCTCATCTCAAGCTCATGATAAAGTCATATATTCAGGAGATTGGAGAGATGGATGTTGAAGTTGCTGCTCTCCTGCGAAAGAAGCCTTCGGCTGTTCTTAAGGAAACTCCTAAGGATTTTGAAAAGTTGAATCCAGGGAAACTTTACAGTGAAGATTGTTTTGTGGTTTACTCTGCTAGGGAACGAACTGGAGCAGACTATCACAAAGGATGCTTCTATCTTACTGATAAGCATCTCTATACCACAAACTTCCTTGAGTTCTTTTTGGACCAAGTGAGCAAGTTCAAAGGCAACAAGAAAGATGATATCAAGTTCTTCTCAGATATGCTTCTATGGTACATTGAGGTACGCCAAGCAATTTATGCCATGATTCCGAAGGTGTATGATGTGCAGAAGCGAATCCAAGGCTGAAGGGTTTGGGACTCAATTGACGCAAAGGGGGAGATTGTTGGATATAATAGGTTGCGTCATTGGGCTTATTTATTTTGTATTCGGTAGTGGGCATATCCAAGCCGTATCATTTATTAGGGTTTAGGTATCAATAGTGCATGCATGCACCGTAGATTGTTAACGTTTTGATAGAGATATTCTTGTAAACCCTAGCACGCCTCTACAGTAGCAATTCTTCATAGAGTTCTTCTGAGGCGTGACTTTTAATCATTCGACACATTGATTGATTCATTCTGTGTTTTTACTTTACTTCATGTTCATATCATTCTTGTTTAGAATCTATTCGATCTATAAGGATTTTAGCCTTATCAGTTTTCATACAAATACAGTTACAACACACTATTTTGTAGTACAAAGTACACCACTACAGTATACATTTTTAAGGAACATACATGACTACATTACATTCACTATAGAAAAATATTGGATTTTCTGGAGAAACATATTAGCATTTTCAAAGTACAAAGACGAGTTTTCCATCACTAAAACATACTTATGAACTCACCAACTTAAATGTTGATACACGTTCAAAATCACTTGTATTCTCAAGGAACCAATAGACAGGTACACCCGCAGGATTTTGAGAAGACGGAGCTTTATAGAGTCTTGTCTTTTATACTTTTGTTATACATTTTGATGTAATACAAACTATGTTATGAACAGATGTAAATACTATATTTTATCAATGTAATGGTTGTGTTTGCTTTGATTACTATTATACAATTGTTGTGATATTGTACATGACGTCCTCCGCCCCCGAACGTTTCCGCCGTTCCGGTTTGGGGGTGTGACAGATTGGTATCAGAGCATTGTTTATAGTGAACTAAGTATATCAAACCTTACATGATATACAACTATAAACACTATGGGGCCGAAGCGCTCTGAACTACACGTATCCTTTTAAAAATCTAAGTATTTTATAAAAAGTATGCAAGTATACATACATACCAGAAACAGTATCAGAAGAAGAACAAAACAAAAGTATTTAGATGTTGAACACTACGGTTAAACCTGGATAGTTATGTAATCATATCTGGGATAAATATAGCCTGATCAACTATATTTATTTAAGATACGACCAACATGTCTTTGGGAGTGCTAGTGGTGTTGCAACAAGTCTAAAACTTACCAAACTCTATACAAAGGAAACAATAGAACCTGATACACAGTTAAAATACTATAGGAGTATTTTATAGCACTATAACACTAGAGCCAAACACGTGAAAACAAAGAACTCTTAATGATAAATTTATAATTGCTAAGGGTATACATGCAAATTATATATAAGTAAGATTTCATAGACTCAGAATAGGTGGTTTAACTTTACATCCTGTTCCTTGTTTGGTTGTGGACTTAGCGTAGGATCACTTAGTCGAAGGTCTATTTGATTTTAGTTATATATAATTTGTGTACACTATGTGATTATAGGGGAGATTAGGCACAAATCACATTATACAAACTCATTCCAAGTGTTGCTATTAATTTCATGGCGATTGTCTACTTGTATTAGTAGACCTCCACTATAAATCGCTTAATAGAACACTATAACTGTCAGGATAAGATATGCCCCGTTCATTATCACCTGACTCATGACCACTATAGAGGACTTATATGTTGGATTAGGTGTCTAAGCCCATAACTATAATTGGTATGTACTTGACCCGAGAGTAGCATGGTCGATTTGGGTTTCATATCACTAAGACAATTTGATAGGATGGACTTTTGAGAAAAGGTTATTTATGATTTGTTAATATATTATAAGTTCTAATATATTAATATGAAATCATATTATTTAATTAGTATTGATCAAGAATTAGTTTGGAATTAATTTTGTGATCAAATGAGACTAATTAAATATAAGGGGTTGATTTGGTAAATCATTCATTCTTATGGTGTGGGCCAATGATCCATGATTCCTTAGGTTGGGCTAAACCCATGTGACAATCCATGGATGATCCATGGAGATTTAAAACCATGGAGCCTAAGGAATATGGAAAGTCATGCCCATTAGGGTTTACATGGTGTAACCCTAATCCTGCCACACTATATAAGAAGTCCCTTAGTATCCAAAATGACACACTAGTGATCCTTGGAGTTCCATGAGCCGATTTTGGTGCAAGAAATACTCTCTCAAAAGCCTCCTTTGTTCTAGGTGTGTTGTGATTCCATTTGAGGTGCAACTCTTGGCGCACTAAGTTCTTAAAGGCCAAACTCAAGAAGTTCTACAAGCTACAACAAAGAGGTAATTCCATAACTCTCTTTTATGTTGATTATGTCATTTCCATGCTAGTTGTAGGCTTAATGCTTTGGAAACAATATTGCATGTATAATTAGAGAAAACATAGATCCAAAGCATTTAGGGTTGTATGTGCACCATAGGATGTTGTAGTATACTAAAACCCATCAGTGGTATCAGAGCCTAGGGTTGTTTTCTATTATACTTGATGCTTATTGGTTTATAAAGTTGAAAAAACCGAATTTTTTGCATCTGACTGATGGACTCGCCGAGTCCACTCAGAAACTGACCAACTCGACGAGTCCAGTTCATGCACTCGCCGAGTTGGTGCTCCAATGGGCAGTTTTTCGAGTTTTTTTGGCCGGTTTGGATTAGAATCATTACCACAAAATATTTTAGTTCATAAAATTTGATTTTGTTGTTATGGTAATGATGATTCTTATCCAATTAATAGATAATTGTCAAAGTTTCAAGTCTTGTATTAGTTTATAAGATTAAACTAATTTCTTGAAATTTGTTTGATATGAATTATTTTGACTTATGAGTTTAATCTAGATCATAGACAAATTGTTTGATTTTGTTAGTTAGAATATTTGATCTAAATGTTTTGATGAAATCCATAACTTGTCCTCAAGTTATGGAAAAGAAAAGTCTCTTTTTTAAATGTCATCTTAAATGGTTTAAGTCTTCCATAACTTGTCCTCAAGTTATGGAACTTGAGAGGTCTTTCGTAAATGTTTTTTATGAACTCCATAACTTATCCTCAAGTTATGGAATTCAAGAGTCCTTTTCATAAAACCTTTATTAAACTCATAAGTTATGAAAATTCAAGAGTTTTGACAAGTTTCAAAACTTTCCCTCAAGTTTTGGAATTTGTAAAGTTTCACTTTTGAATACTTCATTCTTATGGTGTGGGCCAATGATCCATGATTCCTTAGGTTGGGCTAAACCCATGTGACAATCCATGGATGATCCATGGAGATTTAAAACCATGGAGCCTAAGGAATATGGAAAGTCATGCCCATTAGGGTTTACATGGTGTAACCCTAATCCTGCCACACTATATAAGAAGTCCCTTAGTATCCAAAATGACACACTAGTGATCCTTGGAGTTCCATGATCCGATTTTGGTGCAAGAAATACTCTCTCAAAAGCCTCCTTTGTTCTAGGTGTGTTGTGATTCCATTTGAGGTGCGACTCTTGGCGCACTAAGTTCTTAAAGGCCAAACTCAAGAAGTTCTACAAGCTACAACAAAGAGGTAATTCCATAACTCTCTTTTATGTTGATTATGTCATTTCCATGCTAGTTGTAGGCTTAATGCTTTGGAAACAATATTGCATGTATAATTAGAGAAAACATAGATCCAAAGCATTTAGGGTTGTATGTGCACCATAGGATGTTGTAGTATACTAAAACCCATCAGTGGTATCAGATCCTAGGGTTGTTTTCTATTATACTTGATGCTTATTGGTTTATAAAGTTGAAAAAACCGAATTTTTTGCATCTGACTGATGGACTCGCCGAGTCCACTCAGAAACTGACCAACTCGACGAGTCCAGTTCATGCACTCGCCGAGTTGGTGCTCCAATGGGCAGTTTTTCGAGTTTTTTTGGCCGGTTTGGATTAGAATCATTACCACAAAATATTTTAGTTCATAAAATTTGATTTTGTTGTTATGGTAATGATGATTCTTATCCAATTAATAGATAATTGTCAAAGTTTCAAGTCTTGTATTAGTTTATAAGATTAAACTAATTTCTTGAAATTTGTTTGATATGAATTATCTTGACTTATGAGTTTAATCTA